TGTTGCTTAGGTACTGCACTCCCACATGGCTGACTACAGTTCGAGTCCCAGACCTAGTAGGCCTGCTTTCTCACTCCCCTTTCTCACTCTCTCTGATAAAATTTAAAAAGAAATAATAATAACAAATAAAGTAAGTAAATAAATCTTTAAAAAATTCAAAAGACTTGAGTCCAAACTGGACTTTTATTTTATGTTTTTATAGAATTGTCTATTAATTTAACTTCATTTATCATCGTTATTGTCATTTCCAATTTGCAATAGGGCACACATGCTCACCAGAGAGAGTGGGAAACAGAAAGCAAGAAATCACCTCCCAGAGGGGACAGCCACACTGCAATCCCTTCTCTTCCATCCTCCTCTCAGGATTTTGGGCATGCACGCATTCATGCCTGGTGTGAGTTTTAAGACATCAGGTCTGGGACTCGAACCTCGGTGGACTACATAGGAGTCCAGCAACATAACCATTACTCCATCTGCTGAGGACCATGCTTTTTTAAAGCCCTGTAACCTTGGCCCTTAGCACAGTGCAGTACAGCACAGTAAACATTGAGCACATGAGTGGATAGCTGGCATGAATGGCTTCATCTTCCAAGGCCTTTATAATGTCATCTTTATCTTCCAGAATCATCACTTGACCTGAGTCTCTAAGCTAGAGAAGTGGATATTAAGATCCCTAAGAAGTGCTTACGGAGCACTTTTGTGTCCCCCAAAGTGTCTGTAGAACCTGATTATAAAAGTATGCTTTAGATCTTAATAGGCAATAGGAAATATAGTCTTGGCTGCTCCTGGATTAACTCAGCATAGCCAGGATGTATCTTTGGTATTACCAAAGAGTCCCCTTCCTTAATGCCAGACTGAATTGTTTATCTCAGCACAGAAGAATTTACCGACTTTCAGTTCTCTCCAGAGAAACAAGAGGACAGCCAAAGATTTTAATTATCCAAAATGGGCCTTTGAAACAACTAAAGCTGCTTTGAAGTGAATTATTGAGAGCATAACACATTGTTTCTCTCTCTCTCTCTTTTTAAGTAAAAGTCAAGGCAATTAATGCTATTTTTATCTTTGCATATTCACCAAATTATAAGTGATTTTAAGGATGTCTTATAAAACCTCGTTGGCTGAGTGGCGGGTTGCTGTCATTTATGTAAACTAGAGGCACTGCTGAAGGACTGTGTATCTGACGCTGCTTCACGTGCCCATTGTAGGTGTTGGCATGCTCATGGCAGTAAAGTGTTTACTGAAGTTGTTCATGGGGTTAAAGGTTCTCTTTTGTGTTTCTCACTGAGGACCTTCCCAAATGTATGCTCTTATCTTATAAACCAGCTCTAAGAAAAGTCTTACAAATAGCAGGCAGCTGCAAAGCAGAGCCACTTAGTCTCTTCCGTGTGGTTTGGTAGAGATCAGAGACTAGAGACTTCAGTGTGGCTTTCAGTGCAGCAGCTGCATCACCAGCTGGATTTCAGCACATTGCAGAGGGCGGGCACGGCCCAGCTGAGATCCATCCGCTCCCAATATGAGACGGAAAGGCCTGCCTTCAACTTGGAAAATTGCTTTGTGTTGACATTCAGTTTAGGAGGTGAAGAACCTACCCTATCCTGTCTCCATGAGTCTCCTTGAGTATGCACCGAACAGACAGGTGCTAACAGGACCCCAGAAGGCAGAGGTCTTAGGGCTTTCGTAGAAGTTGCCTTGCTATAACTTTTTGGTTTACTGAGCGAGGTTTTTTTTTTTGGGGGGGGGAGGTTTTTGCTATAGGGTGTATGCGCTCACCAGAAAGACAGACAGACAGAGAGACAGAAAGCAAAAAATCACCACCAGGGTGGCTGGCCACACCGCAATCCCTTCTCCTCCATTCTCCTCTTGGGATCTTGGACACGCATGCATATGTGCCCTGTGTGAGTTTAAGCCACCGGGGTCCAGGACTCGAATCGCTATCGACCACATGGGACATAGCCATTATGCCAACTGCTGGTCCCATTAGCAAGGTTTTTGTTAGTTTGTTTAACTTAGTAAAAGTTGGATATAGTCTTCATCCCTGTATGAAAATATACCAGCACATTCTCAACTTTCCTAGCCTGATTAAACTAGTTTATATTTCAAGACTGCATTCATGCACCATCTCCCTCAGAGAGGGAGCTAAGTGTCCCTCTTGTGTGTTCCTGTGAGATCCTTTGTCCGTTCTTTGTCTTAGCCCTTACCCCATCATAATGAAATTGTCTGTCTGTGGTGTGTGCCTTTTCTACTAATCCGTATGCTTCTCTGTATCTGGGGTCCTGTTTTCTTCACCTCCCCCTCACCTAGCATAGTCCCTGCACACAGTAGACATACGGATGTTTGTCAAACTGAGTTTTCGCAAGTCACTGGCAGTGCTGGCAAACCCTTAGCTTTTTTTTTTTTTCTTTTTTGGAGAGGTTTTTGCTATAGGGCACGGGGGCTAGGCAGAGCACATTCTCAACTTTCCTAGCCTGATTAAACTAGTTTATATTTCAAGACTGCATTCATGCACCATCTCCCTCAGAGAGGGAGCTAAGTGTCCCTCTTGTGTGTTCCTGTGAGATCCTTTGTCCGTTCTTTGTCTTAGCCCTTACCCCATCATAATGAAATTGTCTGTCTGTGGTGTGTGCCTTTTCTACTAATCCGTATGCTTCTCTGTATCTGGGGTCCTGTTTTCTTCACCTCCCCCTCACCTAGCATAGTCCCTGCACACAGTAGACATACGGATGTTTGTCAAACTGAGTTTTCGCAAGTCACTGGCAGTGCTGGCAAACCCTTAGCTTTTTTTTTTTTTCTTTTTTGGAGAGGTTTTTGCTATAGGGCGCGTGTGCTCGCCAGACAGACAGAGACAGACAGAGAGACAGAAAGCGAGAAATCACCCCCCAGGAGGGATGGCCACGCCACAGTCCCTTCTCCTCCATTCTCCTCTCAGGATCTTGGGCACGCACGCTCACGCACCTGGCGTGAGTTTAAGCCACCGGGTCCGGGACCCGAACCATGGTCAACTACGTGAGAGTCCAGCAACATAGCCATTATGCCAATTGCTGGTCCCAAACCCTTAGCTTTTGATACCATAGGACCCTTTTCTGTGGACAGAGTATTCCTCTACTAGATGAGAAAGCAGTAATTTGCAGATTAAAAGCGCAGGAGAAAATATAGAAATTTTCTGAAATGGTGCTTACAGGGTAAACGGAATTCTGTAATCACTCTAAGTCCAAATTTCTCCTTTTGGTAACATCACCTTTTCAGAAGGGGAAAGACTTACCACTCTTTCTGGCTTATTGGAAAGGAAGCAGCTAATAAGCTCTTCGTGAGCATAAACAATTATACCCAGCCTCCTGTGGAGCAATCTGCCAGAGCCAAAGCTGCAGTCTCCACATGGGCTTCATTTTCTTGTGCTGGAATGTCATAGACTCTCCCCTAAAGACCCCCATCGTGTTGCACTATTATGATGAATGGTCGCTTTACTAGCTATTACTGGAGGTTCTGTCAAAGAACTGGGCCCCCATTCATCCTCCCATTAAGTCCTCTCCTGGGCAGCGCTGCTGGTTCTGAGTAGTAGTCATCTCATTTCCCCTCCTTCTCCCAGCTCACCGCCTCTGAGTGTGCAAGAACTGCAGGCCCTGCTGCAGACAAAGAGCCACGGTAGAGGGTGAGGCTGCAGACCACTTTCTGCCACCACTCTTTGCTTCCTCTCGCTCGGGACCCAGAGAGAAGTGCACTTGTAGGGGGCCTGCACAACATCGGTTTCAGCCATTTCCAGTCCATGGCATTTCTTCAGTTGGCTGGTCATGTCTGTCTCCCAGCGGTCTTTAAAATCTTTGCTCTATAATGAGTTAGAGATTTAGTGGTTTATGGACACAAAGATCTTACCCACTTCCGTTTATTTTTATCTACTACTCTGAATGAAAGGCGTACATTATTTGATGAGTTTTTAAATGGGTTTTATGATTTTTAGATTTGTATCTACAAGCTATTCTAACAGCTTTCTCTTCCTGAGGATTTTATTTGAATAAAACTTGCTAGGTCTCTGACTTAGTACGTTGGCATTTAGTCAGTTTGGAACTTTCTTTTCTTCTTTTTTAAGAGACAGAGTGGGGACCAGCAGATGGCATAATGGCTATGTTGCTGGACTCCCACATGGTCGACTGCGGTTTAAATCCTGGATCCAGCGACTTAAAAACTCACACCAGGCATGTGTGTGTGTGTGTGCATGCCCAAAATCCCTAGAGGAGAATCGAGGAATAGAGCTTGCAGCATGGCCATCCCCCTGGGGGATGATTTCTTGCTGTTTCTCTGTCTTTCTCTGTCTCTCCAACAAACACATGGACCTATAGTAAAAAATCTCTCTTTTAAAAAAAAAAAAGGGGGAGTATTAGTAAGGTTGCACAAGCTGGCCTTGAACTTATGATCAATCCTTCTGTCTCAACCTCCCAGGAACTGGGATTACAGGTACGTGCCACCATGCCGGGCTTAGGGGTGTTCATTTTAACTCTCAAAATCATTTTCAGAAAGTAATGGAGCCATGGGAACCAGCAGTTAGCGTAATGGCTATGTCTCTGGACTCCCACGTAGTCGACCGCGGTTCGTATCCTGGACCCGGTGGCTTAAAAAACTCACGCCGGGCGCGTGTGCTTGCGTGCCCAAGATCCCGAGAGGAGAATGGAGGAGAAGGGATTGCGGCGTGACCATCCCCCCTGGGGGGTGATTTCTCGCTTTCTGTCTCTATGTCTCTCTCTGTCTGTCTGGCGAGCACACGCGCCCTACAGTGAAAAATCTCTCCCCCCCAAAAAAAAAAAAAAGAAAGTAATGGAGCCATAAAGTGCCCGAGGTGCCATTTGTAAATCTGAGGATAATTGATAAATAGCATTTCCTCTTGCAAATGGTGAATTTTGTTAAATAGCACTCACTTTTTCCTTTAGCTTTGGTATTAACTCATCAATAAAGCTGATATTGAGGCTGCATTAATATCGGGGAAGCCACGTTTCTCAGCAGTATTTCTTTTCCTGCGGAGAGAGTATATTACAATGAAGTTTTAACTTTCTCCCTATTCCCTGAGAGAGAGAATCTGTTAACCTCATTAAGGCAGAGTGGTTTAATACTCTGGGCAGCTTGTTTATTCTTCATTTAACCTTGACTTACTAAGTGATCTCATTCTCTTTACCTTACTAACAGAAATGCTACCTGGCTCCCTGCCTTCTCCCTACCCATCCTCTCGACCTCGAGGCTCCTTTCTCTAGGCAGCACCACCACCTGCCCGCAGTATCTGCACACAGGCTTCTTGGAGGAAACCGCTTTGGTAGGGACTTGCTAAAGACAGCAGAGAAACTGCCAGAGCAGGTGAAGGCAGCCTGCCTTTTCAGGGCTGACAAGGACAGTGTTCTCCATCACAGCGGGCAGGTGGGCAGCCAGGGCCAGGAAGAGCCACAGCTCAGTGGTTAGCACCTGCAGGCTCTAAGCTGACAGTGCACTGTAATAAGATTCATCTCTGTTCACTTAACTGATGTGGGCTTTATGGTAAATGTTCGCTTGCTTAATTACTTTGGCAGACTCGCTGATTGCCTTTCCTGAAGAGTTCTAAAAGGTCCCCCTGGGATGGAGTATAAACCTTCTTCCATGTCTTTTAAGTTCATTCTTTTCTTGGAGCACTTGCAAACCAGTATGTGATCCTTATCGGTCACTGCCCCACCCCTGCTGTGCATGAACTTCAGGATCACTCCTATGTAGTAAGGATTCATGTGGCCCACCCAGACGACTCAGAAATCTTTTTTTTTTTTTTTTAGAATTATTTATTTAATTCCATTTGTTAGTTTCTTCTCATTATTTTTTAATTTGACCAGAGAGAGCGAGAAAGGGAAAGCAAGAAAGCAAGCTGCCAGGTCCAGGACTCAAACCATGGTCAGCCATGTAGGAATCTAGTGCCTTTAGCCACCATACCACCAGCTAGTCCCCAATCACTCAGAAATCTATTTTTTTTTTTTTTTTGGAGAGGTTTTTTTCGCTATAGGGCCCGTGCACTCACCAGACAGAGAGAGCCAGACAGACAGAAAGCGAGAAATCACCCCCCAGAGGGGGATGGTCACACTGCAATTCCTTCTCCTCCATTCTTCTCTCGGGATCTTGGGCACGTACGCACACACGCCCGGCGTGAATTTTAAGCCACCATGTTCAGGAAACGAACCACGGTCTACTACGTGGGAGTCCAGCGACATAGCCACTACGCTAACTCCTGGTTCCCAACCACTCAGAAATCTTAACAGCCTTCTTCTTTTGGGCACATGAGCTCCTTATTCATCCTTCTCCACTGAGATATATATATTGCTCTTTTGCTTTAGTTTGGGGTCCATATGCCTCTTTTTCTCTCTAACTGGGATCCACAGAATGCTTTCCTCCTTCCCCAACCTAGCATATGACCCACTAAAATCATTTTTCTCTGTTTTCAAGGTGATAGGAAAAGAGGAAGTTAGTCATTTTTCTGCTCTTCTGTCCTCCCCTTGCTTAAAAAATAAACGTCTTATAATAAATTGACTAATTGGGCTAATGGGAATGAGATATAATTAACTTCTTTTAGGTTCTTGTCTTATGTCAGTTTTCCTTTCTTTAATTGCTATAGAGGATACATGTTCATGAGAGAGAGAGAGAACACCCCCAGTGGAGCGTGATCATGCCACAATCCCCCTTTCTCCACCCTACCAGGACTTTGGCCACACATGCACATACACCTGGTGTGTTTTTTCTAGTGCTTGGGCCAAGATTAGAACTGCGGTCAGACATGTGGGCTCTAGCTTCCAGTGAACTGTAGCTAACCACTGTATTATGAAACTGGCCCTTATGCTAGTTTTTTTTTTTTTTTTTTTAAAGTTCTGAGTCATATTCAAGGGGCTGGAATGTTTACCATTAATTAAAATTAGAGAACTTTTTGGTGTTTGATCACCGCTGCTTCAGAATTCCTCCTAGGGGGAGACCAGCAGTTAGTGTAAGGGCTATGTCGCTGGACTCCCATGTAGTCGACTGCGGTTCGAGTCCTGGACCTGGTGGCTTAAACTCACGCCGGGCGCGTGTGTGTGCATGCCCAAGATCCTGAGAGGAGAATGGAGGAGAAGGGATTGTGATGTGGCCATCCCTCCTGGGGGGGGATTTCTCACTTTCTATCTCTCTGTCTGTCTCTGTCTTTCTGGCGAGCGCACACACCCTATAGTGAAAACCTCTCCCCAAAAAAAGAAAAAAAAAAATTCCTCCTAGGTATGTATTAGGATTTTCTTATGTCCCAGGACAGGAATCTAATACACATTTTCACATGGCCTGTTTTGTTTGTTTATATTAACTAGATGTTTCCCAGAATATAGAAGGGCCTGCTTCTGGAGGTAGGAAACCTAGGGCCAAACCACTTGCAAAAATCATCAGAAGTTCTCATTCTGCAGCCACAGGAACTTTGACAGCAAACTCCCGACCTCCACTAGACATAGAGTAAGGGAGTCTGAGGAGCAAAGTAATGGGGTCAGAGCAGGGATAGGTTCATCTCGCAGGTGTTTTATATTTAGGAAAGTTCTGGAGCCTCTGTCCATTTATTAAAAGATTTCATAGAAAGCAGATCTTTCTGGGCTGGCCCTATTGTGCAGTGGTTAAGCACTGTGCATTGGGAGCTGGTTTCCACATGACCGACGGCAATTTTAGTCCCAGCCCCAGCATCTTGGAAAATATGCCATGTGTGCGTGTCCAAAATCCTGATAGAGAAATGGAGGAAAGATTGTAGCGTGAGTGCACCTTATGGGGGGAGGTGCCTGCTCCCTCCCTCTCTCCCTCTCTCTCTCTCTCTCTCTCTCTCTCTCTCTCTGGCAAGCACATGTGTCCTGTGGCAATTAAAGGAAAAAAAATGGACCTTTGTTAGGGGAAGGCATTAAATGATGCCTTTTATGGAAATATAGATGATCCATTTGACTTTTGTGGCTCTTTTAACTCCTGTGGTTCATTCTTCTCCATTTATATTCATTGTAATTGTTGAAACAGTGAAAAACATGGTCAGGCTGGCATCTGGAGCAGGAAGATATTCCATCCCTCTCTTATGACGGTGCCAGAGGAGATAACCCAGCCGATCTTCTTGGCTTAAGTCTATGGTTTGGGGCCACCGTAACTAGAAGATAGCTCATTTTTCAAGCAAAGTAGCTGTAACCAATTGCTTAATTTCCAGCAGGTGATGAAGTGGAAACCCACATCGGGCAAAGTCATGCATCAAGATAGAAAGTCTGGCCTGCCAAAATGCGTAATCATGCACACAGCTTCAGAAAATGAGGCAGCCACCCCTCAGGCCATGCGCCTGTTCTTTCCTTACGGCTAACCCTCTCCTGTTGCCCTCTATTTAAAGAGTTGTGAACGTTCATCTGCCTAATGCAGAGCCCAGGTGAAAATGCAGCCAGCAGGTGCCTAATGTATGTGACACATGTGTTTCTCCCTGAGAAATCAAGAGGCGTGCTGACTCATGTCATTAAATACAAGGGTGACTGAGGTGGAGTTGAAGATGCACGTTCTCTGTCACACTCCCTTCAACCATGAAATGGGCACAGTGCCTTCTACAGTAAGGCTCTGCTCTCGAAGCCCTGCCTTCAGTCCCCTTTCCCTTTCCTGAAAGGAACAGCTGCAAGGACACTAGCCCAAGGAGGGGCCTACCTGGTATGAAAGGGCTAAGACCTAGTACTGGGGGTGAGTTACAGGGCAACCTGACAGGTCAGTTGTTGAAGTTTTGTTTTGTTTTGTTTTATAAATTATTGTTTATTTAATTTTATTTATTCATTCATTTATTTTAATTTGACCAGAGAGAGAAAGAGAGAAAGTGAGAAAGCAAGCTGCCAGGTCTGGGACTCAAACCATGGTCAGCAAAGTGGGAGTGTCTAGCACCTTAACCACCATGCCACCTGCTGGCCCCCATGTTGTTGAAGTTTTGATTAGAAAGTTTCAAAGTGAAAAGGTTAGAAGGTGTTCTTATTTGAGGTTTTATTTTGTTTAATGTTAATCAGCAGAGTCTCTGAGGCTTGTAATGCACTGCTGTTAACAGGCATCAAGGGAAATTGCTTTTTTTGTTGTTGTTGAATTGGATGGGCTGAAGATTCATTGACTCCATGAAGACGGAAGCCTATTACTGCATGAAATGGGAGTGTGTGAGGCAATCCCGAAGGTGAAAAGAAATGTTAGTTTAAAATGAAGTAACTCTACCTCAGATGAACCATTTTGTCCACTGCCACATACCGGTAGCTCAGTCATACTTTCACTCCTTCTTTGAAATCGGTCTTTTACTGGTACGTTGGAAGGTTTCCCAGGTAAAGGCAATTACACATAGGATAGTTTTCTTGTCTTTAATCCTCTGATACCTGAGAGTGCACGCACACAGTGTAGTGTGTTGTATGGTGTATCACTGGACTGATTAGGAAAAGGGAAGCTGCTTAAAAAAAAAAAAAAAAAATCCTGGGACCCGCAGATGATGTAATGGTTACATTGCTGGACTCCCACATGGCCATCCATGGTTTGAGTCCTGGAACCGGTGGCTTGAAACTCACACTGAGCACATGTGCATGCGTGCCGAAAATCCTAAGAGGAGAGTGGAAGAGAAGGGGTCGTGGTGTGGCCATCCCCGTGAGGGGTGATTTCTCACTTTCTGTCTGTCTATCTCTCTGGCACATGCACCCTGTAATAAAAATCTCTCTAAAAAGAAACTTCTTTTAGTGCAAGTTGGGTGTTACATAGGAAAACATGGAGGAAAGTTCCAGAAAGGAAATCTAACTAGGGGAAAAAACTGGTTCTCAGAGAGAGAGATTTGTTGGCCAAAGTCACACAGCTAATAAATAGAGGGATTGGGGCTTTGGGGGCTTTGTTTTGCTTTTGCCGGAGGACAGGTATACTTGCCAGAGGGAGACAGAGAGACAGAGAGGTGGGGCAGAAGCACCTCCTGTGGGAAATGGTCATGCCCCAGCCCCTTCTCCTCCATCTCTCTCTCCTTTCAGGAATTTGGGCACAT